AGAAACAGTTTAACCCTTTAGTTCCAAGCATTTTCTATACGTTTTGTCTTTTTGCTCGTGTCACATTTTTACTCATTGTGGGCTCATTTTTCTCTGCAATATAAAGTCCTGCACCTCTATGGAAACAGAGCAACCAGGACTAGAAGTTGACAGAACTCAGGAATGTCTTTTAGGCAGTATAACACAGTTTTAATGTCATAAATCATTGGGAAAAAAATTGAATTTCTTCAGTTATTTATTTAAGAAACAACCATTTTCCCCCCAAATACCCACAGGTGTCACCAATACTAGAAATAATTGGTGATCCCACATACTGTAGGTATTTTACTACTTCCATTTTTAATTTATTTCCATTCTTGCCTCCTGTCTGCTCTGTGTAAACACTGCCTGCAGTTCAGCCGAGAAAGTCCTTGAATTTTCATCACATGACTCTTGGTCACAGCTGAGTCGCTAATAGCTTCACGTTTCCGCAAAGAAGTGCAAAATTTTATGTTTTTTGTAGAATCTGGTTACTACAAACTGCTCATTTTTGGTGTTTTTTTTTGCGTAGAATAAAGTGATTTTAAATAATTATCTCGATTTTAAGCTTTGATTTTTTTTGACTAAACTGCACAGCACAGATGATTAGTTCAAGGGCCATCGGAGACTTGAAACTCCATTGATTCTTTCTGCTTTTTACAGTTTGTAGCGTGTGTAATTTTGTTTTTTTAGAAGATAGCAAACCTTCCAAACCCACCAGCAGGTTCAGAGGGTTAATCAAACACTACATGCAGTACATTCAGCGCTGCTTGTGTACACGCCGGCGAGTGTGTCGGTGCGACGCTGTGGAGTCCACATGAGATGAGCTCTTTAATATTTCACGGCGGGGCATCGACCCTCTGTCGTGCGACCGGCTCCTCTGAGACCTGCACACGTGTGCGCACATGCATGTGCCGTGCATACGTTCTAAAAATACGTGGTGTGCTCTGTCCTCAGATTGCCCGGCAACAGCAGCAGCTTCTGCAGCAGCAACACAAAATCAACCTCCTGCAGCAACAAATCCAGGTGAGGCCGGCCACGTGTGTGTGTGTGTGTNCGACTTTTAACAGCCAAAGCACTGCACTCAGTAATTATTTAAAGTGATGGTTGCAAGATAGAAAACATTTTGATGAGTTGTTTTGACTTAATCAAGTTCGTAACTGCGTTAACTTAACAGCGTGTGTAATTTAAACTCAAACTTCTGCGTTAGTTGATTGAAAACTAAACTTAAATGGAGGTCGTTTAATGAAATTTCCTTGATAACTTAATTTTTCTTCACCTCGAGTTCAGTTTTTTTAAAGTCCTGTCTGATATCTCAACAGGCCTGGACAGTTGGAAGTTAAAAAATAGCTCCGATTGCAGAGGAAAAGCTAACTCCATTAAGTCAGCGTGGTTTATTGGTTGAACATAATGTCATTAGAAGTTGTGGCAACTCAACAAGACCGATGCAGACAGCTTTTAGAGCGTCTAACAAAGCCTTCCTAGTCGTACTAAACTAACAGGACTTCAAAAAATGTTCCCTTGCAGCAGTGAAAAACTTTGATGGCGTAACCTTAGCCAAGCCTTGCACTCGTCTTCAAAGTGCTACCAGATCACCTCTGACCTCTCCTCCCCCCCTCTTTGCTCTCGCCCTATAGGTACCCCAGACAGCCTGGCGGAGAAAGAGCGCCAGCTCATGGGCATGATTGGCCAGTTGAGCAGCCTGAGGGAGCAGCTCCTGGCGGCCCACGAGGAGCAGAAGAAGCTGGCCGCCTCGCAGATGGAGAAGCAGAGGCAGCAGATGGAGCTGGCCAAGCAGCAGCAGGACCAGGTACAAGAGCATGTGAAGGGCCTCATTTGGAAAACGCTGTATGCTCCATGGCTGTGCTGCAAAAAAAAAAAAAAACAGTCCATCCTAACAAGTCAGTCAGTTTTAGTGCAATGAGATCTGAAAAAGAATCATCTGCAGCATTTGGTTCGTTTCCAGTCAGATGAGCAAGAGTTACGTAAAATCTGTCTTGATTCACCACATCTCAAAATATACACTTCAAAGGTCAATACTGTTTAAAATACACTCACAATCGCAAAATCCAGAACATCTCATGCTCAATAAACACACACACACACACACACACACTGGTATTTGCAGACATTCCAAATTCAGGACACACACACACATGAGATTATCGCAAGTGGTCATCGGAAATCCCGGCGCAGATTTCTAAGGTTTACAACAGAAGGTGGGCTTGAAACGCAACAAATCCCACAGGATCTCTCTGTCCTCTGCACTCCCTTTCTTGCACACAAACATCCTCATATAGCGCTCAGGCAGCCAGAGACATGCGCCTTTGGCAGCTCCAACACAGGGACATTGCACAGGAATCAGCTGAGGGTATGTAGTGTTGGAGCGGATGTAGCAGAGACACAACACACACATGCTCACACACTGACACACACAC